AGCTGAACACCACAGAAGCTTCAAAACATGTCAGAGAAAGTTGTGCTTTATCAGTCGACCATCAAGGCGTTGAAGATTTGGCGTCGACGCCTTAACGACTTAACTTTCACAGCCAGCTGTTTGCTCTGAAGATAGGCATCCCAACACCATCACTCCTGCAGCGAAAAGGCATTCCAGTTCATTATAAGCAGAAAATGAACGAAGGAAAAGACCCATGGAAAAACTGTCTGATAACTGAAATGATCAGGTGGTCAGGCACTTTGAAGATCTTTAACGGAAAGGTATAGCTGCTACCCGGAAAATGAGAAAATATCATCAAGCTGGAAAGCGTAAAAGGCAATAGCGTTCTTGAAGGAGGACGATCTCATAAATTATCGCTCAATCTGCCTTCTCTTAGAAGTCTACAAGCTGATCACTAAGATCATCGCTAACAGACCGTCAACAAACTTGGACGAACAGCAGTCAAGATTCTGATGGAGGAATGGCAGAGGAATAACTTCTTTACTTTAAAGCAGTGATCAAATGGGACATGATGACAGCCCAGGAGATGATCACAACCCGTACAAGGCGCCGACATTCTCCGGAAAGAGGATGGATGAGTTTAGAGGCGACACGCCCAAATGAGGGATCTCCACAAAGTGCCTCATCGACCGGTCGGCGACGGATGAAATGATTCGCTTTGGCTTTACTGCTTGGGTGTTTTTACTGCAACCGCTGCTTAGTCGGAACCCTTGCGATGCTGAAAAAGACTTCGAATCACACACCTCAAAGCTGTGCGTAATGACGTTTCTTCTCGCACATCCGTTTGTCGACTTAACATCGCACGACGCCGACCGTCGCTCGACTAATTCCGAATCGTGCATCGGTCAGCTTTATTAGCAATAATCATTATTTTTGTCACCAAAGAACCGAAATTAAGTCGGGCAGCCGTTGTGCATGGCGGTGGTGGTCTTCAACTCGGTTCAGTCAGCGCGAGCGTTAACCCTTTCTAAAAGGAGGCCGTGTTTTTGTCCGATCGATTGCCCTCCAAGTGGCCATTATCCATTAAACGGCGAATTGAAAGTCAAGTGCCGCCAAAGTCGTTGGCGCACTGGCGCAAAAGCAAAGCGTCTCTCCTCAGCGGTCCTCAGAGGTAATGCTTCTTTGCGTCGGGGAAATCAGAACCAGCGCTTCCAAAGGATTCACCCAGAAACGAAATTTTCGATCACCTCTTTGCCGGAAATCGTCGACAGGCAAAAAATGAATTTAAATTTTACATCTGCTACCTTGTTTTTGCATTTATTTGAAATTAATTACGTGTCTGTTGCATAAGAATATCAATGTTATTGGTACAAGACAAGAACTGGGTCGCGTTACTCAGAAATATTACACGTGCTAATAAATATGGCGTAAAGTCCACCATGGCTTACGACGGTGCGTCATGAATATTATTAAGTACGACAGTTGCAGTAGAATGCCACACTTCTTCTCGGGAAGACATAAACACCTGCTGGCCTGAAGAAAGTGAATAAAAATATGATGTTTCCAAATGTGTTGTATGAAGATCCAACCAAGGAAGTCCCAAGGTTCTGATTACCCAATAACCGCGCACTCCATTCGACCATCGTACATTACACGGCCCAGTAAGAAACGATACCTTCCTCTTGACTGGAAGATAAAATATCGCTAATATTTCAATGCTAAGGTTCAAACAGTGGGGCAGCACGGACTCATGTTGAATCTATGCCCACAACATTAAACACGTGATCCGCTCCACACTTCGGATACTGTAGAGTGATCATCGAAGATGCAGTTGAAACAGTAAGTAAAATCGACCCTTGACATATCATACGAAACAAAAATGCACATTAATAATAACGAATATATCTGGACTAATTTCTGCAACAGTCCGATTACAGAGAAGCTCTATGGTTCTCTAAACTTCCGCTACCTATCGATTAGCCTGCAATACGGCTAGCTTTCGCTAAAGGCGGCACAAACTCGAGGTTATCTGAAATGTTTGCAGCTGCGCTGTGATTTTCGGGCGTTTATGCACTGACACTGTGTGCGCAAACAGCCTTTGGTAAGAAATGTCTTATTTCCATGTGTCTCTGAAGCACTCATTTGCTTTTCCCTTAGAAAGCATTGGCTAAAACATTTACCTGCGTCGAGCTCTGACAGAATCAATGTAGAAACCAAATCGCAACAAAAGTCAAATGAATGACTATTCAATTTCGAGATTTATGAGTGAAGAAAAATCTGCAGTGATTTTTGACATACGACGTCAGCAATACACAAGATGGGCATCGAAGACGACTGTCAGTATGACGAAAGATTCACGCAAAACCGACAACAGCGATGACTGTAGCAGCAGCAGGGAACGAATAAATAAAGTTCGTCACCTTTGGAATATTGGTCTTGCTTACATTTACGTGATAGGGTCATTCCGACGCCCTTCTTTTCAAGAAGGAACTAATGGGGGTGCAGTGATCTTCATTCCCAAGTCAACAGCCAGGAGCGCCTTATCTTAAAGGCAGAGTCGACAGCAGCTTTGTGATAAGCATAGTGCATAATCTTCCTCTTTTCTTTAGCACACAACGCTGATGATGTATGAAGCATGGAAGGAAGAAAGGTGAGTGACCTGACTGGAGCTCTAACTCAGGACCTCTCGGTTCGTTCTGAGTTCAATCACTATCAGTTAAGCAACCCAGGTCTACGTAGCAGCACAGACATTAAATGACTATGCTTCAACAATGAAAAGCTTGATTAAATTCTCTGCAAATTAAGCAAGACCAATGAATGCATAGGTTTTCTTGAAATTTCTGTTTCAGAATTGGGACAAGTCTCAAAGGCCGGAAAACAAGGTTTATGTAACTAACTTTCAGGCCAAAATGACAGGGCAAGGCTTGAAAATCGCAGGCGATATTACCGCCATTATAGGTACAAGACGCCGAAGGTATCGATGATAAGCGATGATAAATCGAGACTGCTCAATTTGAAGGGCGTTAGACTCAGAACCGAGAGGTCTCGGATTCGAACTCCAGTCGTATTACTCGCGTTTTTTTCTTCCATGGATAAAAAATAAGTACTATTCTTTGGTAAAACAGCAGACTACATACTATGCTTGTTATACGGCTGTAAAATTGAAGGAGTTCATCAATGGCCGCATAATGAAAGTGTAAAGGAGACAAAATTTCCTTTCTCTTTCCGTATGCAACGCGTAAATCTAACTCTCTCATGTTAGACAGATCATAGGATTGGACATCGCCAGTCTTTCGCACGCCTTATCCATGAATCTTCCTTCTTCGCTAGAGGATAAACGACGCGATGAATGGAGATTAATAGATTTTCTTTAACAACTCATAACCCATACGGCCATGGAACTTAATTCCACCGTTTGATTTTACAACGGAGACGCTCTCCTTCTGAACAAAACTCATATTTTCTCTTTTACGTTCTGAAATGGTATGAGAAACAGTGCTGATACATGCTGCCGTTGCCGCATTAGCCGACTATTCTTGGGTTCAGGAGAGTCCTACCGATTGCGTCAATAGCTCCTAAATAATCACTGAAACGTAGTTC